TCAACTGCTTTACTTGGCACCCTATTAAGAATATAATTAGTAGTCTTAATGGCTTCTCCCCCACAAGAATTCAAGAAGTTGTGATTGTGAAAGCATGCTTTTGACCATGTCTTTAAGAGTGCAATTCCTTCTTTCTGTAACACCATTTTGAGATGGTGTTCCTGGTGTAGTATATTGTGCTACAATCCCTTCTTGCTACAAGAATAAAGCAAAGGGTCTCTTTTGTTGTCCCATTTCTGTATACCTTCCAAAATACTCACCTCCCCTATCTGATCTTACCACTTTAATTTGTTTCCCTAGTTGTTTTTCCACTTCTAGTTTATAAATTTTAAAGCATACTTGAGATTTTTCAGAGATCAAATACAAATAAGTGTACCTAGAGTAGTCATTTATAAAGAGAACAAAGTAATAGTTGCCACAAATCGTCCTTGTTGGAAATGGACCACAAACATCGGTGTGAATGATTTCTAATAGACTTTCACTTCGAGTGGAATTAGTTTTCTTGATTGATGCAGTGGTTTTTCCTTTAAAACAGTCAAAGCAAGTTTCAAAATCATCAAAATTTAAATATGTAGTACTTTGATTTTCATTAATCTAAGCATTTTTTCCTTTGAGATGTGTCCTGATCTTTGATGCCATAACATGGAAGAATCATTATTAGTGACTAATCTCTTAGGACCTAATGATTCTGCATTGAGATATTCATGAAAATAAGAACATTGCAACTGCCAAAGATCTCCATTGAGTGATGCATAACCAAGCAAATTGTCATACTGATTTTTGAAATACAATCGAATACAATTGTCATCACCAATGAAAGAAAAACCATCCTTTACAAACTTTGAAGCTAAAAGTAAGTTCCTTCGCATGAAAGGTACATAAAGGACATTATTCAACACTAAAACATAACCAGAAGAAAGTTTTAACATGACTTGACCAATTGACTTAATAGTGACTTTATTTCCATTTCCAACATAGACATTGTAATGCTCCTTACTTTGGTCCTTCATGTTTTGAAATTGAAATCCCTGCAATGAATTAGTGATATGCACAGAAAACTAGTGTTAAACCACCATGAATGTTAAGGAATAAAAACCATGTTTGATTCTACTGTAACAAAGACATTTATGACTGGAATACCTTTTTTAATAAGCCAAGCTATAAATCCATCACAATCCTTTCTCAAATGCTTAGTGGAACCACAGAAATGACACTTTTCAAGATTAGTTTTATTAAATTTAAGACCAGTGCTAGTGGAAGTAAGATCAGTTTTAACAGGTATAGCAAAATTGGAAGCTTGTTTCTTGGAAACAAAGTAAGGAGAACCTGATTTAGTTGCAGCTTTGCCAATCTTAAGTGCTGCAGGTTGGCTTGTCCCAAAAACTTTTCCCTTTCCTTTCCCATGCTGCACCATATTCACAGTCTCAAGCTTACTCTTCTTCATTCTCTCCTCCTCTTGACAGCAAATGGAGATCAATTCATTGATATCCCATGTTTCCTTCTGAGTATTATAACTTACCTTGATCTATTCATAATCATTGGGCAGAGAGTACAAGGCCAAATGAATAAGATTGTTAGATAGATTGACAAGCTTAAGTAGATGCTCTTGAATGCTCCCCACACCATCAAACTTGGCATTAATCAATTATGAGAGATATGCCCCAGTTTCCGCCTTATCAAATCTGTTGTACTTTTCTTCAATTTTGGCCATGTATTGTTTTGCCAAGTTTCAACTTTGAATGCCACCTTTGATGTGCTCTTCCATGGAATTTTGCATGATCAACATGGACATATGATTAGCCCTTTCCCACTTGGAAAAATTTTCTTTCTCAGCAACTCTACTGGAGTTTGTTAACGCTGATGGATGAGTTTGAGTGAAGGCAATGCTGAATTCCAGCATACCAAAATGCATTTCAATGTGTTGCTTCTAGGTCTTAAAGTTGTTGCCATTTAACTTCTCAATGCTCATAAGATTGAGGCATGTTAAAACCTGCCATTAGGGTATGTAAAGATTCATTAAGTTGTGACTAATGAATGAAAACTGAAGTTCAATATCACTCAGAAACTATGGATCCAATCACACTTTAGAGCAAGAGATTGTCCATATAATCAAAAGTATGAATCTTATACATTTGGATAGCCAAGTATAAACACCAAAGTACATATAAAGTAATGTCTTAGGACAATAATGAGCATGTATATGTCTCTGATTTCATAACTCACTATACATCAACTTATAGATAATCCCAGTAAATAGTTTATTTGGAAAATACTTTACTTGTTAGTGCTTATAAATTGCTTATTGTTCGTCTTTATTGAATAATCATGAAATCAAAATAGTAGTCTTGCCACTTTGGTGGTCTTCTACCAAATATTTCATGAAATCATTGAACAATACCATTATATCTCTTAATGATAAACAATGTGTTGCCATAGAAATGCGCAACAAGTATGATTATATATTTGATAGTCAGGAAAGTCCCAAAACATAAACAAATTGAACACAGCATGATGGAAATGTGTTTATATTACAATCATAACTTAAACTAGATGAGATCGTCAAATTATGTAGCTGAAAAGAATTGCAATAGTAAACATATGATCACAAACGAGTCCAAAATTTAAGTTGACCTGCTCTGATACCACATGTAAACCTTTATATGTGGAATTGAAATTTAATCAACCTAATATTTAGACACATGTCAATATGAAGGATTGGAGTGATTACACTAATATAAACTAATGAGAACCCATACCACTTACTTGCTGAGTTTGCCATAATAATCAGAAAGTAAGGAACGAGCCAAGGTTCTAAAAGACATTAGGTGCTAGTGGGGCAGTGGGCTGGGACCTAGTGCCTAGGCAGCGGGCTGGGACCTAGTGCCTAAGCAATTAGGTAGGGTCTAGGCCAGCGCCTAGGTGGACTAGGCGGATTTAATTAAATATATTATATTTCAGGTAAATAAGTGTCTATATATACTTAAAATATATATATATATATATATATATATAATTTCATATTAAATTACAAAATAGATTGACATTATATTATGAGCTATTGAAACATAATGAACATAGGAAACAACCATATAATGTGTGTTCATTTAAATATTCAACAAGTCTCTTACAATTTATTGAAAAAAATAAAATGCAAAATGAAGGTTATCAATTTTCTGTCTAAGTGAGTTGTAACCTAGGCGGGTGCCTAGGCTGTCTAGGAGGGCACCTCAATATGTCTAGGTACTATTTCTTAATTTTCAAACGCCTAGGCATTAATTAGGGTGGTAACCAACCGCCTAGCGCCTAGGCGGGGATTTTTAGAATAGTGGCAGTAGCAGGTTTACTGCAAAAACTTATAGTACATGAAGGTTTTGTTCTTCTCTTCTCTAGGACTCGAGTATGTTCTACAAATGATGGGAATTGTATCAAAATGAACTGGTGTCTAAGAAGAGACACCATGCAGCAGTTTTATCGCACAAAGCCATAACTGTTCCATCAATCGTGGGTGCAGTTATGCCACGATGAGTAAAGTTTTTAGCCTACTCATCCTCTTGAGTTTGTGTGGTAGTCACTTCCCTTTTAAGTGTTTTTATCATGATTAAAACACATATTACAAGTCCATAAATAATATAAGTCCATTAAATTTTCATAACATATACAATAACATGGTTTTGTTACAACTCGCATTATTTGAGAAAACCTTACAGATGATTCATGGTAGGCTTTCTCCTAACAATTCCAAAATCATAAAGGAGTGGTGCGGTCTTTCCGTCATGGCGCCGTTGCAATAGTTTGAGGAATTCATAGCCATGTTTTCTTGTCGTTTGTCATTTCTAGGTCTCCAGGTGATGGTACATACAATATTTATCTTTGTCTTAATGGTGCTGGGTCTGACTTGTAAAGTTTAGGCTTTGTAAGCTTATTTTTCATGTTAGTTAAGTGTGGGTGTTCCGTGGATAAGGAATCGTATTTATGAGGAGTTAGTTTTATATGCTATGTTACTTTCTTTTCTTTTTTTTTGCGTGTGGTTTTGGTGTATGTTTGCTTGGCAAAGAGTTATAAGGACTTTTCCGTGCTGTAGCTTATTTGCCAAAGGAGCGATATCTTTTGCAAGTTCATAAAAATTGATGCAAGACTTTGTGTTTGTGAGCATTATTTTTCTGTTTGGTTGGATGTGATTACGTGAGTAAGAACCCAGCTTATTGCTTAAGCCTTAAGCCTTAACGACTTGTTGGATGTTTTCAATGAGTCAACTCAAAGTCCAACCTTTTTTCTTAGTGGTTGACTTCCATTTCAATGAGTCAATGCAAAAGAAAATAATATAATCAGGTTCAGGAAAATTTAAATTAACTTTTGCTCCATAAATTTCATTTCTAAATAGCGATTGGCAATGAAAGAAAAAATAAACAATGGGTTGGATTAGAGAGAACATTGGTTCAATTCCCCTCACACCCTCTTTCCTAAGCAAAACCAACATTTCTTCTCCTAACAGCATAACTTCTGCTTCTTGGATACAAATCAGCCTTCACATCCACTTCATCTTGTCGAAAAGAAAAAGCAGTCTCCTTATCAATTCTTCCCATCCTTAACCCAGTAACTCCTCATCCCCATTCCATTCACAGTGTTTGTGGGTTGTCTAATAATTGGTATTCTATACACATCTAAACTCTCTACTGATGCAGCCTTATTATTCTCTCTCTTTCTTTGCACTACTACTCTTTGACGATGCTGTTCTGAGAAGTTGCCTCAAGTCCTCATCGTTGTTAGAACTCGAAGAATTGCCACTGAAGCTCATTGGCCAATGTGGAACTTATGAAGCAGTGTAACCACCCACACCGCACCCACCCTAACCCACCTTTCCGGCATAATCCTCCAGACCCCTCATGTAAAAATTCATGGCCTTGGTCAAGGTCCTAATAGGTGCAAAAATAATGTACATCAACCTGCTTTGCTTCTTTTGTTGACTGATTGAGCGTTAGTTAGGATGGTTATAAGTTTCTCTCTAACTTTCTCTCTAATCTTTCAATATTCTTTGTATTGCTTCCTTCTTCTTTTTCCCTCTGCAACTCTAGTTACTTTGTTAAGATGGTATCAATTGCCCGAACGATCCTTGGTTCTATCTCTTCCGCTGATGAGTTCGTTGAAGTTCTTGGTGGTTCACTGCAGTTCTTGCAGATTTGCTGATTGGTTTTCTTTGATTCTTGGGTTGCTGAACAACGTATCAGGTCGATTACTTTTCTCCTTTATTTCTGCACACTAAGTGTTTGTGTTTTTGCATCAGTGAAGAATTATGGTGATTTTGGGTGTTTGTTTGGTTGTTTGTATCTAGATTCTTTTACGTATATGCTTGAGGCCGATGCCAAGAATGTTTGAGTATAAAGTTTTCGTTGAAGTTGATAAGGCCGATGCCAAGAATGTTTGACAAGATTGAAGTTTGTGAATGGTGTATTGTGAAAAAAGGCCGATGCCAAGACTGTTTGGGTATATAGTTCTTATTGAAATTGATAATTGCAGATAGTTGAAACTAGAAAGTTGGTGAATTTGCCAAGCATATTGAGTTGAAGTTGTTGCTTTATTGCATTTGTGATGTACAGTGAGTTGTTGTCTTTGAGAATTTGTGGAAATTAGGAATATATTGTTCTTTCTTGAAAGTGTTTAGCCATCAAAATGTCTGATAAGTCAGTGAGAATTGAGAATTTGCTGGGAATGCTAACAGTTAAGCTGCAAGATGATAATTTTGTGAAGTGGGATTATCAGTTTCGGTCAGTTTTGAGAGGGTATGATTTCTTGGATTTCTTTACTGATGAGTCACCCTGTCCACCAAAACTCATGATTGATACTGAAATTGGAGTTACTAAAGAGATTACTGAGGCATGTAAATCTTAGGTTCAAAAAGATATGGCACTGTTGAGCTTGCTAATTGCCACTCTTTCCTATGATGCAATGGAGCATGTGATTGGGTGCAAAACTTCTCATGAAGCCTGGACAAACTTACAAGACAGATATGTTTTTATATCCAGGGCTAGAATAAATCAACTTAAGACTGAATTTCATATGATTCAAAATGGTGGTGATTCTATAGATAAATATATGCTCAAATTGAAAGCAATTCGAGATCAGTTTATTGCTGCAGGGGAGAGAGTGACAAATAATGATTTGGTGATTGCTGCATTGACTGGTTTGCCGCCTGAGCTTGATGTAGTTAAAACATTGATTCTAGCAAGGGAAACTTTGATTCCATTGAAAGATTTCAGGGCACAATTGATTGGTGCTGAACTAACTATAGAAGCAAAGATCAAAACACTTTGACAAGTGGAATGGCTGTGATGTATGTTCAAGGGAATCAGTCTAAAAGTGGGAATCAAACTGATGGTTACTCACAAGGAGAGAGTTCAAGTAATGTTTCCAAAGTTGTTAATGGTCAAGGGTATCAAGGAAACAACATGTCCTATAATAACAGAAATGGTTATAGTTCACAGAATTATAAAAGGAACATTTATGGGGGATATGGTTCTTTTAAGAACTCGAGGCCTTATTAGGGTAATCGACAGAGAGGAAGAAGCAATTATCATGGATCTAGGAACTCTTGGAATGGAAATTCTTGGAATGGAAATAGGAATTTCAAATCTGGTGTCGCAGTTGAGTGTCAAATATGTTCTTGAAGGGGGCACACTGCTCCAAATTGATTAAATAGGAGTGATAGCAGTTCAAGTGGATACCAAGTTACTATATGCCAAATTTTTGGGAAAAGAGGACATAATGCTTTAGAGTGTAGGCACAGAAACAATTATTCCTATCAAGGTGCGCCTCCACCTCCTTTTCTCACTGCATTTTCTGCTCAAGCTTCATCTCACATGACTGCAACAGAATTTGGTTAGAATGCTCAACATTTCTCTGCTGCTGATACATGGGTGTTAGATACTGGTGCATCACACCATATGACACCTAGTCTTGGGAACCTAAATCAACCTGTGCAGTACAATGGTGATGAGAAAATCACTATTGGTAATGTGGAAGGTTTGACTGTTAATCATATCATTCCTGTTGCCTTATCCTGTATAAAGAATACAATCTCATCACATATGAACCAACAATGATTATCTTTACACAATTTCTTGACAGATAAAAGATTAATAGTAATAGTTGGAACATGTAAGATATTCTTGAGAAACAATAAATGTTGTGGAGTTGAAAGTGTTGTAGAACAATCAAGGGATAGCTTGCAGGTTCACAGGATTTCATCAAGTCAAAATTCACAGGATCTCAATGCTCATACCCATAGCTCTCCAACTTTCTCAACATCAACTCCAAGTACAATATCATTGTTGCCTGTCCACAGTCCTTCACAATTAGAGGTAATACTACCAATATCCTCTCCTTTGGTTGAAACTAATGAAGAATCAGTTCACATATGGTCACAAGGATGAAGTCAGGTGCAGTTCCACGAAGATCTTACACAGGGTACATTGCTTCATTTCCAGAATTACAAACACTACAGATAGAAGATTATTGTGAATTTACTGGGGGTTTTTCTTTCATTGCTGCAACAAAAGATTTGGAGGAACCATCAACATTCATAAAAGTTTCTACACTCCCATAGTGGCAACGTGCAATGCAAGAAGAGTTTGATGCACTCAAAGCTCAAGGAACATGGCAATTGGTTCCTTCTCCACATAATAGAACAATTATTGGAAGTAAGTGGGTATATAAAGTTAAGAAAAATCCTGATGGAAGTGTATCCAGGTATAAAGCTAGACTTGTGGCTCAAGGTTTTTCCCAAGATCAAGGCATTGACTACTCAGAAACTTTTAATCCAGTGGTACGACATACTACCGTGAGACTCATTTTGTCATTAGCAGCTATACATAAATGGGAATTGAGGCAGTTAGATATCAAAAATGCATTTCTGCATGGTGACTTACAAGAAAAGGTGTATATGAAACAGCCTCAAGGGTTTGTTGATCAAACTAAACCCAATTATGTCTGCAAGTTGATTAAATCAGTTGTATGGGTTGAAACAGGCACCTCGGGCATGGAATTCAAAGTTCACAAGCTATTTACTAGCTTTGGGATTTGTTGCATCTTCATCTGACACAAGTCTATTTGTGAAAAGTGATGACAAGGATATGGTGGCTCTTTTACTATATGTGGATGACATCATTTTGACAGGTTTAGATGCTAGTAAAGTTCAATAAGTCGTTGAAGATTTGGCAGGTTTTTTTGACAAGGATATGGGAAGACTTACCTACTTCTTGGGACTCCAGATTCACTACAAGGAGAATTGAGACATATTTGTGAATCAATCAAAGTATGTTAAAGATCTTATTCATAAAGCTGGAATTGAGTCTTGCAAACCTGCAAATTCTCCATGCAAACCACACAATCAAATGCTATTGAATGAGGGCACACCATTGCATACATTGTACAAAAGTTTGGTTGGTTCACTGCAATACCTCACTTTTACACTCCCGGATATAGCTTATGCTGTGAATTCAGTGTGTCAATTTATGATTGCTCCAACAGATGTACATCTCACTTCTGTGAAAAGGATTCTTAGATATCTTCAAGGCACGACAGAATGTGGAATTACATATTCAGTTAATACTGATATTCATTTGACATCATTCTCTGATGCTGATTGGGCTACCGATTTGAACACAAGAAGGTCTGTGACTGGCTATGTGGCATATCTTGGGGGAAATCCAATCTCTTGGCAATCAAAGAAACAATCCTCAGTCTCTTGAAGTTCTACAAAGGCAGAATACAAGGCACTTGCACATACTGTAACAGATGTGGCATGGATTCGGTTGCTTTTGAAAGATTTGGGGGTTGCATTACCTATTCAACCAACAATATTCTATGATAATATGTCAGCAATAGCCCTTAGTGCTAATCCGGTGTATCATTAGAGAATTAAACACCTTGATACGGATTATCATTTTGTTCGAGAAAAGGTGCATAATGGTGATTTGTTGGTTGAGTATCTACCTACCGATGAACAGACAACCAATGTTCTTACTAAAGGCCTACACAGTCCAACGTTCACTTGATATTGTTTCAATCTCAAACTCGGTTACCCTAGTTGAGATTGAGGGGGGATGTTGACTGATATTGACTCAAGGAAATGCCACATAATCTGCCATGTCATCGATATTACTGTTGAGAGTTAGTTAGGATGGTTATAAGTAGCTTACACAGTAAGAAAGGTTGTTAGGCTACTAGAGAGGTATAAAAGGCTGATTGTGGCTTAATGTTTGTATCAAGAAATCATTCTATCAGTGCAATATCTCTCTTCTTCTCTCTAATTTTCTCTCTGCAACTCTGGTTACTTTGTTAAGATCTTTGCTTTGCTCGTCGTCATAACTTTGATCTGGATTTTGTATATTGGGCTTTGGCTGAGAGTTCCTGATATGTGTGGATATATAAAGGTGTTAAGGGATCTGAGTTTTGGACTTGTTTCTTGGAAGTAGGCAGTACAACTGTAGAAGCAGTCCAATACGGACGGCAAGGCGAAGAGAAGAGAAATCACTAATAGTGACGGGTGGACTTTTTCAACAATCTAAATCTAATGGGACATGTGAAAGGTACTCAAATATTTGTACAGTATATTTTTATTGATCGGAATATGTATAATTTATACATATATATACACACACACACATACATATAAAAATCGATGTAATCTATATTAAGAGGGATAGAAGTGGGTTTAGCTTCACAATGAGTTAGCAATAATATGGTTCAAATTCGTCTTAATCGAATATAAAATCTCTCACTTATAAGTGAACGAGGAATGCTATTAAATAACATGAGCAAAGCATATAATATATGTATAGTATATATTAGAATGGTGTTAAATGAAAACAACATGAGCAAAGCATATAATATAATAAATTAATCATAGTAGGGTAAAGGTGACCCTCCCAAATTTCCAAAGTTGAGGTTTGGCCTTTTTCTATTGTTCTACTAGTATTTTGTGATGTTTTTGTTTCTCGGACGCAAAATCTTTTGTTTTATAAGTCATATGGAAATAGATTTTATCCGACGCAAAATCTTTTGTTTTATAAGTCATATGGAAATAGATTTTATCCGGATCTTTGCTATAAAGGGCACCGAATCTTTCAAATTTTATCTAACGGCTCACCTGTTTTGACCCTTGAAAAACTGTGATAATTTTTTGTCGTTGGATGAAATTTGAAAAGTCATCACTTGATCCAGTGACCTTGAAGGAAGAGATCCGAAGAAGATCTCTTTCCTAAGTCATACCTTCATTGGGTATAGGAAACCATAACGTGAAAATTATGCACAAAAAACAGTTATGAAGTATCAATTAGTATTAGTATTTGATCTAGGACATTTTGGAAGCAGGTTTTATTATTACTATTATTATTATTTTTAAAAGTTTGAATCTCACTCATTAATAAGGTACTTTTAGTGTTAAATCTGCTATGAGTTGTTCTTTCCTACTGAGAGTTTACCTAAATCTCTTTGGCTTCCACTTTGGAAGTTGCACAAGTAGCACCAAAATTAAAGGTCTTTACTTGGTTGGTCACTCGAGATAATATTCTAACTAACCACCAAAGATTTAAGAGGAATATGAATTTGGATACTAGTTGTTACTATATATATAGTGGTCTGTTGAAAATTTAATTCACCTTTTGAATGAGTGCTCTAAAGCTAAAGCTGTTTTGGAATTCGTTGAAGGTTCCTAGTAATATCCTCTATACTTTTAATTTAGACCTGGAAGGATGGATTACTACTAACATACATTGTAAAACTCTCAGTCATCGAGGGTTAGAATGATGTAATCTTTTCTGGTTTGCGTGTTGGCATATTTAGAAGTGGAGAAATTGTATTGTCTTCAATCCATCCTATCAAGCTTCCTTGGACATTGTGAACACTATTTTGAAGTATGCTTGGGAGTGGACTGATGCTAACAAGGTTTGTCATACAAGTGCTCCGCAAAATTCTTGAAAACTTGGCTTGGGTTTCTCCAAACGAGAGATGGTTGAAATTGATTATTGATGGTTCTCGCCAAGGGAAAAACCATGCTGTCGATTCAGAGGAGTACTTAGTTGGATTGGGGGTTTTTCGGCTTATATGGAAGTAGGAGAAGTCCTTGACTTTGAACTGTAGGATCTCTTTTTAGGTTTGAAAATGACTTTGGAAAAGGGTGCTAGGAGAATACTTGTGGAATCTGACTCTACTATTTTAGTGTCACTTGTCAAATGTACTGGGCATGAGTTGCATCCATTGGCTTCTTTGTTATATGGTTGTAATCACTCGATTACTCAATTATTTTTTCTCATTGGATTTCATTCGAACCTTTTTGTTTCGCCGTGTTGTAACAGAGACACGAATGATATACTATATTATTATTTATTATATAAATAATTATCATAAAAAAATCTATAATTTAATAATTTAAGGAATATGGGTGCTGATGATTTGGCAAGTTGAGTTTTTCGTTGGACCTAGGCTATGTTATTTTGGATGACCCTCCTCCTTCAATTGGTGGCTTACTTCTAGATGATATTTCTGGGGTTGCTAGAACTCAGCTATTTGTGTAAGCCTTTTGGGCTAATGTTCTTCCTTGTTTAGTGGTTCTGCTTGGGCTTTGGGTCCCTTTGTAACAAAAAAAATAAAATACTTACAATAACAGTGTAATCAAAAGCTTCATCTAATTAACAACTTTTTAGTTTCTAACGAAAAATAATTTTTTTAGTGTGACTGTCACATTGTAGGGCCAGCAACAAACCGAGCCAAACTGATTTTCACTTTCCTCAAGTTCAACTTACTTAATTTAATTTCCAAACATTAGCCATGCTTGGCTTCCTTCTTCTATTAGCCGAGCTTTAAAATTTATAGCTCAACAACGAACTTAAGTTGTATCGAGCTATATTTTATAAATAAGATGGTCTGGTATTATAACACAAATTTGCAATTTGGCAACACATTTTACTAATAGAATATATAATATACAAACAATATAACAAAAAAATTTCATATATAGTACTTGAGGACGATCACATAATTTTCTTTTATTTATATATTTTATAGGGGATATAATATATCAAGCTCCGTGTTACGAGGAAAAGTCCAACATCATTTTTTTAAAAGAAAACTAATAAAAATGGTTTGAAAATTTTGAGTTTTAATGATAAGGGAAAAATAAAGGGTAAAATGAATAGTACCATAATTGACTTTTTAGTATAAAAATGTGGTTTTTTGTTAAAATGAGAAAACTTTTTGTTAAAGTTCCCTTTTCTTTTATCCCAAGAAAAGTTAATTAATAGAATCTAGGTTGAGCTCTTTCGTAAAAGTTGTTCACGAGCTTTACAAGCCCAACATATCAACATTCAAGCTTGGTTTGTTTTATATCAAGCGGAATATAGGTTTGGCTTGTTCTTGCACGAGAGGAGATTTGACAAGCCGAAAACGAGTCAAACTCAATCTAAACCCAAGCTCTTTCCAGCCGATTTACATGCAATAATCAATTTACTCATGTTATAACACGAGTATGAATGTCCATTTTTTTTTATAATATATCCTAAATATCATATTAAAATATATCTTAATTTAATAACAAATCAACCATGTCGTCTACTGAAATTATAACACATTAATTAATAATATCATATAACAATATAATTGTCGCACTCAATAACTTTAATAGGAGAGGCCCTTAGAAAAACGTACATAGGGGAGGAAGGCTTGGCCCAATTGGTTCGATCCCCTCCTATTCTATATCGGACTTAGACTGAAGTTAACGATTAAAATATAATATTATCAGCATTATAATTTAGTAGTATTCTTGTTTATTTGTAAGCGAGATGTCTTAAGTTTAAATCTAAGAAGTGACAAGTTCGTAACAAATATTCTAATCCTTTGTATGTAATTACATATTTGTGTAAAAATAAATAATTAATTAAAAATACATATTGACCCAACAAAAAGATAATTTATTTTTTATTTTTTATTTTTTATAGAAAGTACAATTCCGTTGTATCTTGCTATAGTAGGATCAGGCCGAATTAGGCATCATTTTCGGACAATTGACTAGCATCTTGGCAAATATCAATCCAAAGGAAAATAATATAATTAGGATTAGAAAGTACAAATTTATGGCCAATAAGGGTAAATTAACTCTAACACTGTAAATTGCATTTTCGAAAATAAATTGGCATAAAAAATCAAACAAAGAATTGGAATGAACTCATGTTTTTTTTACATCAAATAAAATAATATTCCAGAAATCAGTCTTGGCTGGCTAATTATGCAAACCCAACATTTCTTCTCCGAACAGCATAACTTCTGCTTCTCGGATACAAATCAGCTTTCACATCCACTTCATCTTCCCTAAAAGAACAAGCCTTCTCCTCATCAATTCTTCCCATCTTCAACCCAACACTGTAACTCCTCACCCCCATTCCATTCATAGTGTTTGAGGGTTGTCCAACTATTGGTCTTCTGTGCATATCTGAACTCCCAACAGACTTAATATTATTGTTCACTCTCTCTTCCTCTGCATTACTTCTCTTGGACGACGCCGTTCTGAGAAGCTGACTCAAGTCCTCATCGTCGTTAGAACTCGAAGAGTTGACGCTGAAGCTCCTGGGCAAAACTTGTGAAGCAGTGTAACCACTCACACCACCGCCACCATAACCCACCTTGCTGGCATAGTCTTCCAGGCCCCTCATGTAAAAGTTTCTTGCCTTGGTTAAGATCCTAATGGGTGCACAAACGATGTACATCAACTTGCTTTGCTTCTTTGCTTGGCTAGAGGTCCTCATTTGTAATTTTGATGGATTTTGTAGTGCGTATATATGGGATGAAAAAAGAAGAGAAAAGAGATTTGAGAGGTTTGGAATTGTGAGGTGATGAGGGAGAGTTTGTAACGTGTACGAATATATAAGGGTGTGGGGGATTTGAGGGACTTGGGGTTTGGAACTGTTTCTTGGAAGTAGCCAGTAGGCATTAGAAAGTCTAATTGGGACGGCTAGTACGAAAGAGAGAAAAATATTAATCGTTAATTGCGACGTGTGGACTATATCAAAATTCAAATGGGGCATGTGAAAGGTTCAAATAAGTGTATAATATATTAGAGTGGACTTGTACAACTAAGTTTACTGGTCTTTTGTATTTTATTCTCATCCCCTTTTATCACAACATTTTCTTTAGGAGTAAAAGGGAAAACTTTGTTGAACTTAAAAACTGCTTAGCTTGCGTGATGCGCAGAGTAAATGGCTAATGAGCTAACTATGTCTTTCTAGTGAATGTGAGTGTACCAATTTGCCACCTGAACTCGATCGGCGAGTAGAATAAATGTGGTGATAGTGTAGATCCGATATATGAGTGATCATGGCCAAATAAGGAACACGTCTCGACCTTTGGGTTCTAAAACCTATGCACAGACCCTTTAAGTGAAGGGATCCCCATCTTCTTTTTAAATGGGGCTTAGTTGTCGAACCCACTCTACATCGAACTTCAACAATCTGAATAGTCTATTTTGTAAGTCTCAATTCATAGATTATCTTTGCAAAAATTCTATTTAATTTGAAACCATCTACCTTTTTAATTATCACAATGAAATTTATATGTTTTCTTAGAACAAAGTGTTTGTCAATTTTTTTTTTTTTTAAACTCAAATAGATGCCTCAAATATTTTCGGTTTTGCTAATCTTTTGTAAGGATGATCCATGAGGTGCAACGTGAAAAATAGATAGTTGGTATTGTTAAAGTTCGATGTGGTGTGAACTTCACAACTATCCCCATTTTTATTATTTAAAAAAAAAAAAGGGGATCCTTTCCCTTAAAGGCCTCCCACATATTTATAATCGTTATTCACCGAACTCATTACCTTAAGAATACAAAAGTTGCATCGTGTGAATTGCATTTTGTCGGAAAATTCAAAAGTTTTGAATCAAAATCAATGAGAATTCAATGGTGCTTGTGGGAGATGTCAAAGATGAGCCAACATCATCAATACTTTAAATTCAATGCTTTAATTTTTCTACTCTACAAGATCCGTTCATTGAATCATTTTATAAAATATTCCAAGTTTATCATCTCTTTTCAAGAGTCTTACAATCAAGAAATTTGTGGATATTTAATGACGAAATTGGTATTTACTAAATTATAGTGCGTTAACTGAACAAATACATTATTTATATTGACGAAAATGGAAATAACCGTTAATTGATGGGAAATCCATTATTCAATGGGTATGATTATGGATAAACTTCGTTGGTTAATTTATGGTTATGAATATAATTAATTTTCGTGGTTATGGAGATGGACATAGCATTTTTGTCCCAAACCAAACCGTTGCCAATCCTAATCTAGCAGTATTAGTTTTTACTTGTGAGTGAGAGATTTTAGATTTGAATCTCGAAAGTAGCGAGTTTGTAACCAATTTTTCTTCCAAACCCTTTGTATGGAAGTATATCTTTGTATAAAAAATTTGATTAATTAAAAATATATTTGACTTAAGAAATATTTTTTTTTATTTTATAAAAAAAGTATAACTAATTAAAACAGGGGAAGAAAAGGAAGTAATTTACAGAGTCAATTCCATTGCATATGGCTAGTAGGGTCAGGCCGACAGGCAGATCGTAGCTCATTGCTTGACGACTTGTTCAATGCTATCAATAAATAAAATCCACCTTCTTGTTTCCTACTTTGATGCCACTAATAACGAACCATATCATTTTCGGACAATTGACTAACATCTTGGCAAAACCAATCCAAATGTAATATAATTCAGTGAGCTACAGTTACTACGTATTTGTACTATTTTTTGTATCATTTATCTAATAAAGGTATGGTCCACCACAAGAATGCTCTCCTAAGGTTCTATTTCATTTCAACCCTTAAGATTAATCTAACTGTGAAATAATCCAAAATATGATATTATCCCTTGTTACAACATACCAGATATATGACATTCACGCCTGAAATTCTTTTTTTTTTTTTTTTTTTTTTTTTTACTTTTTTTTAGTCAAAATTATTATTTTGTTATGTTGTAATAGGGATAATATCATATTTTGGATTATTTCACAATCAGATTAATCTTAAGGGTTGAAATGAAATAGGACCTCACAGGTCCTCAAAATGAGGACCTTAGGAGAGCATTTCTATGGTCCACCAACATTTGTGAGTTTCATTAGAGATATGATACAAATAATGGTACAAATAATTAGTAAGCACTGGCGAAACCACATTAAGGGCTACCCAAGTAGCTTTTGGTGAAATTTAATGTAGCCCACCATATATATAATTAGTCACTAATCTTAGTTCTCTCACTTTAATTATATAAAACTATATAATACTATTTACAAACCATCTCTTTTTTCTTACATCATTTTTCTCATTGTTTCTTGTACACAAAGTTCTAAAAACCGCTAAGCGCTAGTTGGGCGGCAGGTTAGGGCCTAAGCAGTTAGGCGGGGCCTAGACGGATGCCTAGGCGGCCTAGGTGGATTTACATAAATTTATAATATATTATAAACTATGAGTATATGTGTACAATTTTAGGACTTTTTTTTTTGGTTAATTTTGTGACATTTACTCACCCCATTATATTAATCATTGTTGTACTTTGCTTTTCATTTGAAAAACAATTGGACATAGGGGTGGGCATAAAAACCGCAAAACCACACCGAATCGTATGAAAAAAAAAAAACGAAAAGAACCGTGTTGACCGGAAAAGTTAACTTGAGTAAAAAACCGAATCGGACCAGTTCAAACCGGTTTCAATTTCGAATGAACAAGTGCCAGCTGGAACCAAACCGAACCGCTTTATTAATAATAAATAAATAAATTATATATATACACACATGTCATGGTATAAAAGGTTGAAAAATTAGTTTCACCAAGTTGCAAAGCAGTGGATCCCATCCCAATTAGGGCTCACCCACCTCACCCTCACCTTACTCACGGCCTCACATCCCCCATTTCACACTTTTAGACTTTCATTCTTTTTTCACTCAGTCGACCACCTCATTCACAACCTCTCATTAGCGATTCCTCAGGCAGCCCACAACCTCAGCTCTCTGCGACGACCCACGTCATCCCTCCACCGCGAAAGCTCACGACTCTTCGTCTTTCGTCCTCCCTCCTTGGTATTTTCTCTATCTTTTCTCATAATTGAGATTAGGAATATGGTTGAGTTCTACTAGTTTCCATTTTCTCTTGGGCTAAATTAAATTTACTCTTGTTTTGTTGTCGTACTACTGTATTATTGTGAGGTTAGCTCGTGTTGAGTGATGTGTAGCCTAAATTGTAATAGTATCACTTAAAACTACCATCTTTTGGTAATCAATAAGAGCATCTATTATTTCTGCCAAGAATTAAAAGGTAGGGCTGGACATTGGGTAGACTGGGCGGGGTTTACCCTCAACCCATAGGCCGAGCCGACATGCTCAGAATACCAACAAAGATGCATAGAAAACTAGAAATCTTAGAAGAAATTTAACGGAGTGGCTATGGACGATGCAATGGAGAGAATTGAAGTTAGGGATTTTGGAGAAAGAAAGCGGCTTATGATATTTTAGAAATCAAAATGCTAAGGTGTGGGAAAGACCACAAAGTTCTAACTTGCATCCATTAAGAGCATGCCATGTGGCATGCGTTAAAGATAAAAGCTTGTTTTAATACTATGCGGGTGGGTTGGGCTTTCATGGGTTGGGATTTTATAAACCGACATTGGTAACACAACGTTAAGGAGAATCAAAATCACATGGGTTGTTAAGGACAATGCCCACACCTAATGTATGAATGTATATTCTATAATTTAGTATATGTGTGAATGGATTTGTTGTTTGTATTGAAAATTGGATTATAACTTAGAAGGGGAGGGAAGCTAGAGGGGTGGGTTGGTGTTTTACAAGGATGAGATATTACAAGGTGTTGATGTATGTGTGCTTACTTTCTTATTTTCTAATGAGTTCTTGATTTTTATATGTTCTAGAAAAAAGAATGGTGACACTTCAGAAACTATTCAGTCCTAACTTGTCACATTTTACTACTGATGGTATGTATGTAACTTTAGTTTTTTAGCAACTTCCTTACTAATTTGAATTGTAAGCTTGTTGTTTGATGTATGTTGTTTGCTTGCTTTCTGAAATAAGAAGTTGTTTGATTTTGTTTGCTCTCTGAAATAAGTTGTTTGATTTGATTATATGTTGTTTAATTGTGTACAGGAGCTACTGTTTGAAAGAGAATCTGCCACTGCCAAGGACATTTGGATTTTTGTTTTTGCTTGTTGTTGCTGCCAATATTAAGAGACCAATGCCTATTTCCTTTAATGCTAATTGAATATTTCCTTTTGCTTGTTGTTGTTGTTGCTGCTGCCAATATCAGGAGACTAATGCTGCTTTGAGTTCTTGATTTTTTTCTTTTGTTGACTGACCAATGCATATTTCTTTTAATTGTCCCTTTTTGTTGACTTGGTGTTACTAACCAAAGACATTTGCATTAAAAAGGATATGTGTTGTATGCAATTTAATATAATCAATTTTAGAAAATGTATTTGAATGCATGATGATTTGGTGTTCAAATAATTTAGTATTCAGAATCGTAAACCGGTAAGAACCGAATTGGGACTAGTGTAGACCGAACCGTACAGTTCTAGTAATAATTTTAAATGGAACCGCACCAAACCGAATCGTAGATATTTTTCGGTTTAGGGGTGAAATCGCACCGAACTGCACCGTGCCCACCACTAATTGGACCTGGTTTCCCCATTAAAAAATAAATTTATTCCCTTATGTTTTAGTCATGAAAAAATCACACACGTGGCAAAGTCAAACAAAAATCCCTCTTTCTACTTAATTTTTCACTCTTCCCATGAGCAGGAGGATCTTCACCAAATCCTCTTTTTGAGGATCATGGGGATCCTCTAATCACATTCATTCATCGTACATCATGCAGTCATAAATTATTGTAAACTTCTTTATTCAAAATTGAATATAAACAATACATGACAAAAATTGGCCGCACGATGTATGATGAACATATGTGATTAGAGGATCCTCTTTCTTCCCATGAGCCCATGACACAAAAACTCAAAACCTCTCCCCCTCTCTCTCTCTCTCTCCATAAACCTCTAGCAAGCAACCATAGTCTGCGATGCAGATGCGAGATGCAAGGTGAAGGATGCGAGATGCAATGTGGGAGTTGGAAATTTTAAGTTGCAGATGTGATGAGAGTTCGAGGTGGCAAGAGTTGCAAAGCCTTTTGTGGTGGGGAGAGTTACAGAGCACCTTGTGCAACGGCAAGAATTTCAGACTGCCTAAAGGGCTGCCTAATGACGTTTAGAGTGACTAGGTCCTCGCCAATTTTTCAAACGATCTGTCCCAAATCGCAGCGGGCTTCCACCATGGCCAGCCTAGAGCGATTTTAGAACACTGCTTGTACGTATATGTTTCAAGTTTGGATTTATTTGAATTTTAACACTGTATTTTCTTAATAACGAAACATTATTTGGCTCACTTTGTGAAAATTTCCTTAAACTAACTAATAATATGAAAAATATAGTATCAAATTTCTTTGTTTATAATTGAAATCTTTAAGCTAGCATACCCGGTGAAAAATTTCTAGCTTCACCGTTGAGTAACATTTTTAAATATAATTAGGAATTAGAAAGTACAAATTTGCGGCCAATAAGGGTAATTCAAATTAACTCTAATACTGTATCGAAAATAATTTGGCATCCAAAAAATCAAACAAAGAATTGGAATGAATTCATTTTGTTTTTACATCCAAATAAAAAAATATTTCAGAAATCAGTTCTTGGCTGGCTAATTATGCAAACCCAACATTTCTTCTCCGAACAGCATGGCTTCTGCTTCTCGGATACAAATCAGCATTCACATCCACTTCATCTTCCCTAAAAGAACAAGCGGTCTCCTCATCAATTCTTCCCATCTTCAACCCAACACTGTAACTCCTCAACCCCATTCCATTCATAGTGTTTGTGGGTTGTCTAACTATTGGTCTTCTGTGCAAATCTGATCTCCCAACAGACTTAATATTATTGTTCTCTCTCTCTTTCTCTGCATTACTTCTCTTGGACGACGCCGTTCTTAGAAGCTGACTCAAGTCCTCATCGTCATTAGAACTCGAAGAATTGACGCTGAAGCTCCTGGGCAAAACTTGTGAAGCAGTGTAACCACTCACACCACCGCCACCAGAACCCACCTTGCCGGCATAATCTTCCAGGCCCCTCACGTAAAAGTTTCTTGCCTTGGTTAAGATCCTAACGGGTGCACAAATAATGTACATGAACTTGCTTTGCTTCTTTGCTTTGCTAGAGGTCCTCATTTCTAATTTTAATGGATTTTGTATATTGGGTATATATCGGATGAAAAAGAAAAGAAAAGAAAAGAGATTTGAGACGTTTGGAATTGTGAGGTGATGAGGGAGAGTTTGTAATGTGTATGTATATATAGAGGTGTGGGGGACTAAATAATAAGTAAATTAAGTTTCCAAAAAAAAAAAAGGTGTGGGGGACTTGGAGGACTTGGGGTTTGGAATTGTTCCTTGGAAGTAGGCGCTAGAAGAAGCAGTCTAATCGGGAGACGGCTAGCCAAAAGAGAAAAAACATTAATCGTTAATTGAGACGTGTGGACCATATCAAAATTCAAATGGGGCACGTGAAAGGTTCAAATATATGTTTATATATATTAAAGTAGACTTATACGACTATGTAAGTTTACTAGTCTTTTGTGTTTTTGAGCATCTCTAAAGGAGATGTCAAAATCCTAGGTCGTATGCCACTGTGCATATTTGATATCAAAAGTCTCTCAACTGAAATATTATTTGCTAACTGAATTTAAAGGCTTGGTGATTTAGAGTTAAATTTGACATCAATGTCAAATTTATTTTTAATTCATTCATGGTGAATCCCTTATTTCATTCACATTTCAACCAATAAAAATTTTGTTTCAACATTTTTTTAATAATTACAACCATTTAAAACTCTATTTAAATAATAGGCTTAATTGGATTAATGGTGATAGACTAGTTGGAAAATAGTCTCTCTAATTAAAAAAAAAAAATTAGTATTTAAGCCCTAGGGAAGTCTCTTGGATTTAAGCCCAAAATTAAAAATTTCGTCGACTCTCTACTAATTGTTAGCACAAGAGGCTCACATGTGAATCTAAAAAGATAAAGTTAACCTCAAATACTAACAATTAACTGAGAGTTATGTTCTAGCCTAATATGTGTGGCTCACGTGCTAATAATTAATGGAGAGTTGACGGAATTTTCAATTTTTGGGAATAAATCCTAACAAACTTCACCACAGGGGCTTAAATCTTAGTTGATTTATTTTACCATAGGGTTATCTTCTAACTACCCTATCACCACGGGGACTAATAAACCAATTAGGTCTAAATAATAAAATAACATTTCACAATTTGGTTGGAGAAGTACAAAATTTGACATAAGACTTAAATTGTCACATCAGCCATCAATTGTAATTTGACTCTTATACTCTATTTAGATGAGGAAATTTAAAATTATTAAAGAATTTTAAAATGACGGAAATTGAAATAACATAATTTTATTTTCTAGAATAGGTGAGTTTTCTTGTTTGATTAACATAAAAGAACAATGGAATTTGAAACAGAATTTGTTATTTTTAAACTTCCACTCATGGAAATTCAAAAATGACACATATTTACATGTAATTTAAACTTGAGAATTAGAGGTCACAAATTCCAAGTTTTTTTTCCACACGGAAATTCTAAATTTCTATGTTTATGAATCCAAACAAGGGAATGGGTGCATAGTAATTCTGACTTTTATCAAAATTCCAAGTTTATTTCTCTCATCCAAACATAGTGCTATAATTTGACATTTCTTTTGGAGATGATCTTATATTGTTATCCCCTTCTACCACAACATTCTCTTTTGGAGTCAAAAAGAGCACCTTAATTTATAAGCCATAAACCTCATTAGTGTAATCAAAATGTGCTGATTATTCACAAACAACAAGTATCAAGTATGAATTAGCTCTTGAAGCACATCGTTTCTCAATGTTGAAAGAGGTTAGCGAATTTAAGTTATGTTTTTAATTTTTAGACAAGAAGCGACATCAGTGTTTAATTAATTATCAAAAATAAATACAAAATTTATATCAACCATTAGATATTTGAGTTTATTGTTTGCATATTTACCAGAAAAGTATACGATAATGATAGCAATTAGAAGATTATGAGTCAGAGATATGGTGGCATTACATCATATTATTGAAGTAGGATTCTCTTCCTTTTTTCTTTTTTCTCCCCTTCCCTCTCTTTTTATTTGAATTGTCACGGTTAAACCACGTCAACATCTTATATTAATTTTTTATAACAAAAATAAAATAAAATAAAAGAATGTAAGAAGAGAAGATGGAAGGGGATGAAAAGATGAAGGGAGAGAATCTTAATCCCATATTATTAGGCATGGCTAAGTTGACCAAGTTTGAGTACAAATTGGCTTGATTTGGAAGGTTGCTACTTTTTAAAACAAGTGAATCTGGGTTTCGCAATAGTTACGGATCAGTGGCACCAAATTTTGACACATAATTTGGGTTTTACAAAGGATACGGATTAGTGACACCAAATTTTTGACACATATTGACACAAATCTTAAATAATTAAATTTAAGGAAAACTACTGAAAATAGTTTAAAATTTTGAATTTTAAGATAAGAACAAAATAAAGGGTAAAATGAATAGTATTAGGATTGACTTTTTAGTGTAAAAATATGATTTTTCGTTAAAATAAATAGTAATAAGAGTTTTTCATTAAAGTTTCCTTAAATTTATACAATTTAACGGTTGAAATGCAATATAAGTAATCCAATTAATCATCTTTTTTTAAATAATTATGTATTTGGTAACAAAATTCTAAAAGCCTGTTAATCAAATTTATTATTCTATCTCCTATCTCATTAATTCTCCTCTCTTTTCCCGTTTGACTATTTATTTTCCCTCATCGTGTTCATCGTTCTTCCTTTATACTCGTATCCCTCGCTCAGTCAACTCCATCGTCCTCCCCATCTATCGTGTTTTTTTAGTTTCATATTTTGTTGTTGTAATTCTTTCACATCTTGATGGTCATATCTTAATTCACAAGTCAAACCTTTGTGCTTTGCAGCTATAGCCCATGGCCTTTGACTACAATTGATTAAGGGAAAAAAAAAAAAAGGCAATTACGCTCTGCAGCCTATGGCTAATAGTTGATTGCAGAACACTAACTCAATATGAATACAGCCAATAATTGTACTTAATTATCCTGGTTCATGATGCCAGGTATGATTGAAGCGTCGCACGTGGCGGCTGGCTGCCACGACTCGCCGGAATTTTCACCTAACGCCAAATAGCTCAAATTATACCA